TTCGTACGTAAATGGGGGTGGGTGGGGGGGTGGAATAAGAGAGACGAGGACTTACCTTAGCTCCGAGAAAGCGGGCCTCCAGTAACTCCTGCTTCCTGGGGTCCAGGGCGGCCTGAAAGTGCTCCATCTTGACGCCAGCGCCTGTAACCAACAAAAGTCACGTGTATACGTCACCTTCGAATCACCACGGTGACGTCACAGACTCTAAAGGATCAACGCCAACACCACCGTTTCACATATGATCCTACCGGACGGTACCTTACTGGCCGTCCTGGCGTTCACCAGGACGCCAGGACCTTTGGACCGCCCGGCCCTCACACCGTGGAAGCCATGCCAAGGACACTGAGACATTAGCTTACGCGAAAAGGGATGTTTTGTAGAAAAAGACAAAATTAGGTACACGACAATTTAACACTAAACCTACCGACATATTATATATACCTATTTCTACCGATGGCTGTCAAATGACCGCTTTTGAAATAAACATTATAGTATTTTCCAGTCGATTGTAATTAATACAGAATTTAGCATAGTCGTGCAGTAAGTTCAAGAAAAATAAAAACCTGGAATTTAACAATTTTGATTAAAGTCTCAAAAGCGGTCATTTGACCGCTCTGGTAGGTTTAGTGTTAAGGGATAGGAACGGAGGGCTGCCTCCCGGATAATTATCGATATCGCGGAAGGATGTGGCTTCTATGTATACAGAATGGTAAAGTGACGTGGGTTATAGCGTCAATCCGCAGTAGCCAGGGGGGAGGGGGGTAGGGATGACCTCGGGGGGATGGAACGACGACGTGAGTTCGTGCCGGTAAATATTGCAGCAGGCAGGGGCGCTGAGCGTCGTCGTCGTCGCGGACTCCTCGTAGAAACCGACGATGCCCTTTGACCTCTATCTTGCGCTTAGCACAGGGAAATCAATACAGAGCCAAATTGAAGCGTATTCCAGAGTGGAACGTGTGCTACGCCGGGCGGTGCTCGACGACTCGCCCTGACTATCGAGCACCCCTTCCGTGAGCCACCACGCGTTTAATTCCCTTCAGTTTACTCCTTGGCACCTCCCCCCTGTCACCCGCCACCACCTACTC